TGTAGTAATTGGGATTGGGTTTTTGGCTAATATTTTAGCTTGAGATTCGATTTTCCGTATAACTAATTCGAGATAAGTGATTTGGAATATAATAATATTGGAGATTATAGTGAGCTTTCCTTTTTCGATATATTCTCTAAAAATCTCTAAAAGATCTAATAGCTTCGATTACTCATTATATAATTGAGAAAGAATTGAGGCTAATACTATAAGATCTCTTGCTTTTAGGATCGTTTCCTTTGATATAGTTGCCTTGTTTTGTATTCTAGATTGTTTGTTCTAATTGCTAAAGGGTATTATAAAATACCGTTTCTTATTCTGATTGAATATATAAATAGTATTGATTGTATCTTGAATAATAAAGGGATTACTAAGTAGATTGAACTCTTCAACTCTTCTTCCAAAACTGATTGACTGATTGGTTAGTAGAATAGGGCTAGAGATTTCGAATTGAGGGTTTTCAGAAGGCAGGGGAGGACTTGAAGGTATTGAGGTATTTAGGATAATAGTAGGATAAGTATTTGGTATAATAAAAACTTTAAAAGAAATCTTTATTATAATTGTATCCCTAAATGTTGATAAATTATCGAGACAATTCATATTAAGGATTTTATTCTTATTTTGATAATTTGAGGTAAAAATTTTATACGAATTTTCGTATACATTTCGTATTTGGAATACCGACAATAGTATCATAACAACTACTAGTCAGAATCACTTGGGGGCAATTGCAATCAATTTGATTTAATAACTATGATCTAAATCGATCGCGAAAGGGTTGTATTTCGAAGAAAAAGTTTCCTTCGAAATTTGTTGTGTGCTTACAAGTCTTTATTGGTTTGGGGATTAGTATATATAGATCCTATCTGCCTATCTAAATGCCTGAGGTATTAGAATCCAGAATCCTGAATCCTGAAACCTCCTAGTAAATGATGATATAGAGACTATACCTTAAGGAGGGGGGTGGTATTATAGGGTGATACTAAGCCCTTTCTATCCTATTCTATCCTGTTATATATATGAGAGTAAGGTAGAACTTCTAGTTCTACCTTTTAGTCTTTTGAGTGTTTAGCTCAGCGGTAAAGCTTCTGAATACTCCTAGAGGTGATCCCGTGACACTGAAGCTGTACTTTCGAAATTAGATATTCGAATTCATACACCTATTCCCCCTCCTCCCTTTTTCGATATAGATCAATGGATCTCTCAAACTCTTTATAATCCAATTAAAGCTTTTTCTCAATCAATACTAATTAAATCTCGAATAACTCATTATCAATCAAGTTTTTCTATACCTATATTCGAAACTATATTAACTCTAGCTAAAGGTATAAAGAGATTAGTTTATAAGAATACACTTTTGAATATAGAGATTCGTATATTTCGAAAAACAAATAAGATATTAAGCAAATGTTGATGTACGAAAAAAACCTAATTACGCTAAGAAGGAATATTTACTAAATAAAAGGCTTTTGATATATTATCTCAGTAAAAGGTTGATATTTAGATTCAATGTAATGAGTGTCAAAATAAGGGAAATCCTAATGGAAAAGTATTTTCTAATAAATATTATAGTAAGTGTAGAAAACCAGGTTACAATTCAAGAACTTATCAAAACAATGTAATAGATCCTAGATTATTAGATTCTTAATAGTTTTCAATCAATTGATTTAATGGTTGTGAAATAATATGGATTTGAATACGATAATTGAGGTGAAAGTGGCCCACATGATGATATGGCCTACATGATGATAAACCACGTTATATAAACTTTATAAAAACAAAATTTTCATAAATTTATTATTTTTTATTTATTTATTTATATTAATTAACGTCTGTTTTGAACCTCCCTGAGGGTATTTAGACGTGCTAAGATAAGGAACTATTTGAGCAGCGTGATCGTCGCGACCGAATTTAGCAATTTAACTTCAATGCCAGGGGCTATTCGCTCCTCTGCGGGTGCGATCCGCTTCTGTTTCCAGAAGGGAACGTCTGATCCGGGTTGTTGTTGAGGTAGAGCTTGGTTCCCGGGTGGATAGGCTCGTTGTTTTCATAAATTTAAGCTATTAATTATAAATATTTTTTGTATTTGAAGATGTAGCAAGATATCTATTTTTGGTGAAAAATGGATTTTTGACTAATAGCAGTTGACTAGTACTGTAATATTATGCTAAAGAGTAAGACAAATCGAGAAGAATTTCATTAGTGTATATTATAATAGATTTAGTAATCGAGTATGCTTTTCAGACTATGAATATAGAGTAATTCTTTTCAAAAAACTATACATAAAACGACAAATTACTCTCATGTTCTCTAAACGCTATTTAGTTACTCTTCTACCGTAAAAATCAAACTTATTTCACTCTCATGCTCCTTAAATTCTATATTATAGAAAATATCTCAAATCACAGTATCTGAACTATGATAGCTGGAATGGAGAAGCAGGAGTCAGAAAGATCAAAGGAAAGTAGTAATATACCTATAGAATCTGGTCTAAAATGACGAGAAATTGCCCCTCCCTCCTACTATAGAATCTAACCTTCAATAGCTAGAGTATATTAGTTTAGAGTAATTCCCATTATGTTTTCTATTATAGATTGCATCGTATAATCTAAGAAATGTAAGGATGGTTTATCGTATATAAGTACTTAGGCATATAAATAAAAGACTTATTATATAATTAGTCTTTCTCTTCAACTCTAAAAGTGTAATAATTCGTAATGAATTTCTACTCTGGAGAATCATGAAGACAGTATCATACGGCTTTCACGACCATTCGCTAATAACCGTACAGCCGTATCATACGGTTAGTATGACTGTAGAATTTAAGTATCTAATAAGCGTGTTTACGGTCATCCCGTAAACCGATACTTGAGATTTTCAATATCTTTTCATAACTGAATAACTAAGCAGAACTGCCTTGAGATTTGAATCTGTTTCTGTGTGTATTGTAAATCTATTAATAGTTCTTTATGTTGGAAAGATATAGTGCGGCCGTACGCGCTATATAGATATATATCACTTTCACTTCGTAGTTAGACTTTAGTCTAGAACAATTCAATTTATATCATTTATAATGTATACATTTCACTAGCCTACTTTCTTTACTGTGAACACTTTAGATCTTTCCGATCAAGTTATATTACTAGAAAATGAAGATATATTATATGTTAACTATCAGATTTTAATGTTAGGGGGAGGGGGGGCTAAGCGAATAGAAAAAGAAAAGAACTCAGAAAGTTTACATTAAATCAATAACATGCTAAAATTGATGAGATTGAAATTAGTTTTAATTAAAATCACATGTAACTCACCCCTTAAAGACTTCGAAGTGAAGAGTTGAAGAGTGGAAAAAGAAAAGAAAAATAGAAAGTGAAAAAGCTGAAATGGCTGAAAAAAGGAGCTGATATTATGTCTAGTCTCTTAGAACTTGCTTGGGATCTCAAAGCATCAATCTCAAGGGACATCTAGGCAAAGTTTTCCTTACCGAAACCGTAGTAAACGGTTTTTCTGGTTCCGCGGGGCTAGCAACAACCGCTTGATCTCCAACCGTAGCATCCAGAACGTCTCTCGACTATTTACAAATCCGAAAGATGAAAAAATTATCCTGGCTCTCAAGACGGTTGTCGCAGTTTAATCTACAGTCCGGAGCCGAGGAAAGAAATTTCTGTCGAAGAGAAATGGGGATGATGGAACACGGAGGGATTTTTATTCTGGGCTCAATTCTAGACTAGCTCTACGCCGAGTACAACATTCATGTGTTCTGGAGAACTAGCCTCCCAACTCTGGACAATGCCAAAAGGTCCAGATCAGGGATTCAATGAAGTTTATCCCTATATCAGATATAATTTGCTTCGGACTGAGTTGAGTGAACGATCAAGTTCATCTTATTGTGAACTTGGTATAGACATGAAAATCGCAGATCAATCGAGTGGTAAAATATCCCAGTGTCATAGGCTTCAAACAGAGGAATATTAATATCATTCAGCTTCACTCATTAGAATTACTTAGCTCTTCTGAATTATGATATTCTATAAATTGCACCATCTACTTGTCGTCGACTGCATTGTGAAATGTGAAGGTAGAGGCGTGAATATTTGTTGCAGATGGTCCAATGGTATATCCAAAGGTCAACTGCATAAGTCACTTCTTAAATTTTTTGTTTGATACATCTAACCGAAGGCTCCAAACTTGATATTTCGGTAATTCTAAGTCTCACTAGGTGACATCATATGACGTAAAAACATGAAACACCTTGCCCTCATGTCGACCATAGGATACTCTCAAACAATATAAAATCTAATTTTGTACATATTGAGATATTATCAAATCACAATATACCTTAGTTCAAACAATCTACGTAGATTTGATGTGAAGTGATGTGATGGTTAAACTCAATATAACGGTCATTTGGAGCTCCCAGGTGACCAAATTTGCATGTGCCCTGGTATGTGACAATTGAATCTAGACTCAAACGCAGGTCATTGAATCAGAGGGGAAAGAAGAGCAGTCAGACATAATATACCTTGGGAATGATGGTACAAACAACTAGTATAAGTCTGAGGTACTTAAAGTGGCTCCGTGTTCCTTACTATTCTGTCATTGACATTAGAAAATTCACTGTGGAACTTCATCTTTTAAAACTTTGTGTCTTTTCTAGGCGCTACTTGAAATCGTTATTCTTCCTAGGAAACTCCGTCGAAATAATGAGGTCTCACTGGATAATTCTTCTTGCGCTGAGCGTTATCGCACAAGTCTCGGCATTAGCAGCCGCTGGCCCATGGCAGATTGTCGCCTTTTTCTACGCTTACTGAATAAGCATCAATGCGTTTGGCGTTGAGAATAACATAATCGCTTCAAAGAGTCGGGGAAGCATCGCAGATGGGAGCTGCACTCTTGGAGAGTTTGTAGAATTCACGCGGAAGTCCAAGAAAGATAGCATTCCGTTTCCGAAGGGACTAATAGGCGATGACCTTACACCAGACCCTCTAATAACCGTCAATATGATTAAAAACTCAGCGTATGACGCAGGACAGAAATTCGACGCTAGCAAATTGCTTTCGGGATCTTTCGAAATAAGACTTGGCTATCCTCCAGCTTTTGCAGATCAAATACAAGCACTCAGAGACCAGGTTGCTAGGGCTCGTATCTCTATGGTCGAAAAGATGGGCCTCGGCCAAGATTTCTTCGATACTGAGCCCAGCTTTGTAAACCTAAAAGTTGCCATTCGTGGAATTTTAGATGCACGTCGGTCAGACTTCAACAAGAACTGCCTCAATCCATTGATTGAGAACCTGCGAGTTCATGGAATTGCCCCAGTTATAAGGACAGTAATCAGTATGGACTCTACATATCATTTTGAACTTGACACAGCCTTGACAATAAACGGCTCAACTAGCCCTGCAATGGATGCAGATACAGTTGTGAATAAAGTTGTAGCTAGGATGGGACCCCTGTCTGAAGACGGGGAAATCAGAAGACATGCAGCTATCATCAGCAAGCTGGACGAATGGATGGGCGATCTCAACGCTCCTTGTTGATTTTATGCCTCGGAGTACAAGTACCATGGTAGATGCATTTGTATTCAATACTTATTTCAAAATCAGAAAGCTGTATGGTTTTTTCACTCATCAAAATCTGCTGTACTTAGATGTAAACTTTGCTTGGTCATGCACGAACCACTAGATACATACCTATTAGCCATTCCATAACAGACGGCTTTAGGTAGTACCTACGAATCCACCGTAAACCATTAATAATTCAAATACAAAGTTCGCCGTACAAAGTGCCAGCATGATTCTATCCAACTGAAGTATTTTACTATATAAGAGAGGCTACCCACTGATGCTAAAAGTTCTGCATTCCACCTGTCTAAGAATCCCATTCTCTTAACCGCAAGCCCGGTTTCCAAATCCTCTGTCGAAATCGATACACACTCACTATATCATTCTATTATACTTTTAAGACTACATCAAAATGGCGACCGAATTTACTAAATTTCCAGAATTGCCATTAGAGCTACAACGCAAGATCTGGAGGTTTTGTGTCATGGAAGATCGTGTAATGGAGCTGGACTGCCCAGATACGGATAACTTGAGTACAAAATGTATCATGAAATCGACATCCCATGCAAACGCACAACAGCCAGCATACAGTCTAGTATGTCACGAGGCGCGAGATGCCGCATTTCAAGATGGTGGACACTTATGGAACCTATACAAGTTGTGGAAAGCAAAAGGATTCGATCAGAAACCAGATTGGGAGGACCCATGCCTGCTCCAGAATCCGTGGTTTAATCCCGGAAAAGATATCCTGCATCTCAATTGGGATCCGGCTCACGCAGACGGCTGCGATATAGACAGTGATGATAGTCCTCATCGAACTCTCATTGCGTATGCCAAAACCGCTCGGGGAGGCTCGTTCATGGCAAATCTTGTGGCAGATTTCAGGAAGCCAGCGATGGGCATGGAGGGCTTACGGATTTGTTCTCAACCTATGATAGATGAAATCAAGCGCAACTTTCCACTCATCGAGCAAATGAACGGCTTCAAAGTCTGTCTCACGGTCATTACCATTCATGCCACCGCCAAACAGGTTGTTGACGCTCAGCTGTTTGGGAGCTCGGCGGCACCGGTCCAACTTGTCGAAACCTCGGACCGAGAGACCATTCGTCGTATGTACAAACTGTGGCTTACTACTTTTCTTGACGATACTAAATTAAAGGACCCTGAGCCTGAGAAAATATTTGAAGAAATGATTCTCACCCCCGATGACTTCGAGGCTCGTGTCTGCAAATGGCATGAGGAGTATGAATGTAATTGGCTCTGGTACAAATGGACCGAAAAATATCGCCATGGGACTTTGAATAGTATTGATTCACCTCGAGATGTCTGGACTGGGCCAGACTTCAACCCTATAGGACGACTAAATACGGGCCTTGATCCGTATGCTATATCGATGCCAGACCAAGACTTCAACAGGGCGCACCCGTGGGTTCGATCTATACTCGACGAGATGCCTCGTTTTCATCCTGTCATAATGTTCAGATTCTGTGAAGCCAAGTGCTACGATCGACTGCCATATGATCCTTCAACGGAGGTTCACCAGATTGCGCACTGGCCGCCAATACTGGATATAGATTAAACTATCACATGATCTTCTAATCATCGTCTGCACACGGATTAGTAGATGTTTCAGGCGGCCGACTAGACCTTAGTCGAGATTCGAGAAAGCACGCATCCCTGCCAGTATTGTTGCTTGGAAACGTACGAACCAGAACCAAAATGATGAATTATTTTAGTATATGATAACGTCTATTTTCAACACACAACCACCCAATCTCATGAGATTCTGGGAAAAAATCTATAGTTGGATTGGACATTTACCTTCTCTGACTCTCAGTGGAAGTGGTAGAATTGAGGAGAGTTGTCATCATTCGGACTACAACAATATTCACACAATAGTAGCAGCGAGGTTAGGGAGTGAATGGGGAGTAAATAGAGCTAATTATTACCAAAATTATCAGACAATGTATGTGACAATATCATCAGTGACAATACACACAGATCCCAATCTTGAAACTAGACATGTCGATGAGTGATGAAAAGAAATACCGCTGTATTGAATAATATTAATCAGTGACTATTCCTGCATATATAATCACCAAGAAATAACAATCATGGATACGCTTCTTCCGCAATCTGCTCAAGCCACTTCTTCAAATCAACCGCAACACGCTCTCCCATTCCAACATCACAGACAGAATCCTGCCAACTAACATCCACAGATAGTCCCGCTGCCTTAAAACTCATAAGCGAGATTGCAAAAGCCGCACCCGTGGTATCCGCACTCGATGCAAACCCCGTCCAATGAAGTATCCACGCATCTCTTCCTCCCAGCTCAGATTCTGCAGACGGTATCTCATTATCGATTTTCGAATTCCGCTCGAAGGTTCCAGCATCTGTGATTGACCATGAGAACTTTCTGGGTCTCTTAGAAGCGTTTTTTAGTCTTTGGCGCCAGTTTCCTAAAAACTTCATTGCTTCTGCAGAATCATCTTTCAAACCCCTCGTTATTTTTCTTTCAGTTTCTCCACAAATACCTGCACCAATCATCCAAATCTGTCTCAGCTGTCCCGGTGGTAGAAGTAAATCCTGATTGCCATCTCCTGAGAGTTTATCGCGTAGCTGAGCTACAAGCCTCTTATCGAATTCATGAGAAACTGACGTTTCGTAATTCTCCATTATTCTCTCTACATTAAATCCTGAATATTTGGATTTTGAGGAAATTGACGTTATCAATCGTCGCATATCCAACGTCGTACAACTTTGAAATGCAGATGCTATGTTCTCGTCTAATTGTGACGCTAGTGAGACGGCCATAAGTGCGTGCAGAAGACTGATAAGTGTACCTTTCTTCTTGCGACATGCGAGGTGGATATCGTGGAGTGTGGTTTTAGAGATGGAGAATGAGCGATTTTGGGTAGAGTATGGGATGAGATAGATGGGTGCCCAATTAGCTAAAGTTAATTTTGTCCCGTGATGTAGCTGCGGGGGTAAATAATTCCCAGAGACTTTTGGCGAGGAAAGATATACTAAGAGGAAATTTATAGAGTTCTTCGATTGGTGGCGGGAGGATTGGAGTTGGAGGAAGTGGAATGAGGGGAGATGTTGTGGTGTTGTCTTCAATGCCCTCATATTGAGTCGCCGTATTCAGACGTCGAAATAAATCTTCCTGGAAGATTCTCCCGCTTATTCCATCGCCATACACTTGATTCCACGTAAAATGTACTTCGAGTAAATTGGCTCTTTCTTGATATAAAACAACGATCCTCCATCCCGGCTTTTCTTCGATTTCATGAAACTTGCTATCGATTTCGGCAAGAGTGAGTTCTCTCGAAACATCATCGAAATCCTCGGGTGTTTGTAAAAAGCGCCATGTGAAATGTTCATCCAGATTAATGTGTTGTAGTTGTTTCCACGCTGGATTTTTAGAGTCTGCATCAAGTATTCCAGCTTGTAGAATTGGATGCAGGAGAAGTACTTCGATGATAGCGGTTTCGGCTATACGTATGAGACGGTTGGGATTGGATGGATGGTTCGGAGATGGTGTGTAGCGACAGGTGATAGATTTGTTGCGATGGCGATCTAGTGTATGAAGAGCTAGTTGGTAAGCTTCTCTGAGATTCTCAGTATGTGTTTCTCGATATCAACAAGTGGCTATACTGACTTATTACCCAGTTTGCGGAAATTTTTGATTTTCTCGCTGTCATAAACTGGAGTGTTCTGTGAACCAAACTTGAACATTGTGAGAATTTGAGAAGAGTCGAGATGAAAACAGGTAGAATTTCTTTGCGATCACGTAGTGTATGGTAGTGAGGGTGATAATTCTTCACTCTAGGATTCTGATTACGTTTATATACTGACGGCTAGATTGCGGCATTTGCGATGTTGACTTGAGAGTGAATTTACGTGAGAAATTCGATACAGTTTCGCGGTATAGGTGGAGATAAGCCAATATTCTTCACAGAGATCGTAAATCTAGTTGGAAAATAGTGAATAAACGCAGGAGACAATAGTGATTGTGGGATGATAAATGAAAAATACTTAGAAAAACGAGGCAAAAGAACAATTCCAAGATACGCCCTTCGCTACTTGGGATCTGAAATGCAAAATTTTGAATTCAAGGACTTTGAGTACCTAGGTATCTTATTATGTGCAATGCGTATAATAAGCGGGCACTGGTCCCCAACATTTGTTTTCACTTCCCTAAATCGAATATATCCATCTTTGTAGAATAAAAAGTTACCTGCTAGAGCCTCTAGAGGCCTAGCCGTCCTATATAGTCTTAGACTGAACGTGGACGTAAATGAAATCAATCAATCAATCAGTACCTAGGTATGGAATGCAGATTCAATATTTCGACGTATTTTAAGATTTGAAATATCTCCAGTGCCTAAAATCCTGTCGATGTTAAAAGTTTCATCAATGTGTGAGCACTATCTGTAGTATTTAATTGTACAAGAATGATCAACTTCCAAGTCCTAGATATGCACAAGCCTGTTGATGTCCGAACCTCTCCAAGGATTAGGTGGAAATGGAAAAATTGAGGTCCTTCATAAATCTGCATCATCTTCATCTGGGGGTGGCATTTGATCATGTTCCGTTCCATCTCCATTGTTTGTAAATGCGGCGTAATCTTGAAAGCCTATAACCTCAACAACCGAGTTAAAAGGTAAAGTTCGAGAAATCCTATCGTCAGAATCCGTATTCGAACTCGTGCTAGTACCCATATTTTCGCTCTCCGCTTCAGCCTCTTCCTTATTGTCCCATTCGTCTTCCTCGTCATCTTCTACATCCTCGTCACCAGCATGACTATCGTACTCTAAATCATCTTTATACACGTCTTCCTCCGCGTTATCGCTAGTATAATCGTCCGCACCATTTTCCACCGGAAACCAGCTGTCATCATCATTATTAGAGACCAAAACTTTTAGATGGTCGGGTAAGGAAACTGTGTTGAGTGGAGTGAGAGATTTGTGACCAACAACTGTCGGCTTTTGATTCTTGATACACGTGAATAAAGAATGAGTCCCGCCTGGCTTTGCTATAACATAGCGTATGATAGGTGGATACTTGAACCAGGTGTGTGCATTGATACCTTCTTGATAGTCTAACACAATTTGATTAGTCCTGTATGTTTTGGAAAATCTTTGTAGCGGAAGGACCCAATTACCCTCTTCGAACTTTGAGAGTTGTTTTCTAAAATCTTCTAAATTTTTCTTCCTTCGTTCTGCTTCTTTGAATAAAACGGAGTTAGGCTTCTCATAGCCCTGAGAAGTAAACATTCGAGAGGAGAGAAGCTCATCATGACCATCTACTGGCTCGAAAAAAGTGACGCCATGGTCCAGGGTAAAGGCTACATCATTTAGAACGACATATATCTCCTCACACATCTGGTATGGTAGAAAAGCTATTGTTCCCAATGTCCAGCTCATTACGTTGCTGTCCCATTGTGGGCGTGGATCGTGCCATAGCTGATGATTTATGGCAAAGATCTTTACCATACGATATGTAGGACGTCCTTCATACAATGCTAAAGAGGTAGGAAGTTTACACTCAGAATTGTCAACAAGCCACATGATATCGGCGTCTGGGTTCATGTAATGCTTTGGAAGTTGTGCATGGCAATTTTCGCCCCCCCACGAACCATAATTGCAAAATGTGAAATGAGAAAATTGTAGCTGAATGCCCTCATCATATGCCTCCTTGCATGTTTGCATGATTTCCGTAATTCTGCTACGAGTTGCCACGTGGCTAGATACAATATGAATATGAGGACCTATCAAAGCATGTTTCCAGATTTGACGTCGAATCTCCAATGGAAATGTCGAAAACAACGGAAATGAAACTTTCTCATGAAGTGTAATATTGGTACCTAATGTCATCAAAAAATTAGAGACATTCAGATTACCCGAAAGCTTCAAATTGCGATGGTTATTCAGAAGCTGCCAGACACTCTGAGTATCTGGTATTCTCGGAATGTTGAATATCACATCCAAATATTACCAAACTCTGTGGGTATATTAGACATTCAGAGGTTTTCAGCCTCTGAAAGCGAAGTAGAATTTTACATACCAGTGAAACTAGCCATTACATTGCCTCGTTTAATCACAGCATCCATATTGTTGTTATTGATGGCTTGATACAAATTCTGACGATGATAATATCACGAATAATATGGCGTTCCCAAAAGTGGTTGTAGGTCAGCCCAGATCAGCCCCGACCAGCTGAAGTATCCTTGACGAATTCTCTGCTCAGAAAGATTGAATATATTTCGTACTTCAAGTAATTCCCAAGTCTTGTTAGATGATTCTATTGACAAAATCTGAGTTAATCAAACGGATGTTATTAGTTATATCAATATTAATGAGCGAACGGTCTTATGGCATGGAATACAATACGTTGGTAAAGGAAAGCAAAACGTGATCCAGAAGATAAAGTAAGCTTACTTAAAAGCCGGAGGAGTTAATTGAACACGCGTTTTGTTGTATCTCTTAGGTTTGAACTGTAAAGATTATGTTTGTTTGACCGAATATCGAACCTGAATCTTTCAGATAGTAAAAGCCAATGTATACATCGTTGACTGGAAATGTTCTTGACATTCTTGATCTACTATGCTGCCTTGGAAGTGGAGTGGGTAGGTGTAGAATCGCGTTAATCAATTGCGCTAAACCAAATCAATCTCAGCCATTTACTATCACGTGCTGGAGAAACAGAGTCCTCGACATCTGATGATTGACTAGATTAAAGCTTTGTGAATCTATCATTGAGTCCGTTGAAAGAGGAGGAAATTTAAAGCAACTCGTTACTGGTCGTCGTACTGTAAATATGGTGTTGGTTCAAGTGGTAGATGGATGATGAATAGCCGAATTCAGGAGATGCTTTGATGCGTATAGGGGTTTGTTTTAGGAGAAGTGATGGGCGACTTTCCCTCAGTTGCCTTCACAAGTAACGTAGAATTCATTTAAATCGTCAAGGTACTATGATGATCAAGTCACCAAGATTTTAGAAGAGTAAGAAACTCAATTCGCTTTAGAATTTCCAACGCATCAATAATCTGAGGTACTTCCAATAATGTCAATCAAATTCCATCCATCTATGCTTGATCAAATCTGGGGGTATCATTACTTTTTGCAGATTGTCTTTTCGTGCGGCTGCTACCGTTCATATTCATCAATCCCTTCTTCCCATGATCACCAAAGCCATCCTCTGCACGATTTAGCTCCACACAAGCACTTCTCACTTCCTTGCTCTCCATCATCTTTCCCATCCACATAATCGAAAGTCAGCTCCGTCATTGGTCGAATATCCTCAGTCGCAAAGAAAGCTAAATCATGAAGATTCTTCTCAGAATAATCTCCAACCCGCGCAAAGATCCTCATATTAGCTTCACAGGAATGATTGAAGAAACGACTAGGCCCTGCGTAAAATTCTCCGTCGATAACATATGGATCACCACGTAAAGTCTCATCGAGACTATCTGGATCGGTAAACTTATCGATGTTGAAGAGGTAGAGATCTTTTCTTCTACTGATAATTGCATTGTCGCGACGTCTGTCGGCCTCCTGAGCGGTGATTATCTCGCCAATATAGCAGTCGATAAATGCACCGGCTTTGATGGGAACTTTGCTTCGGACACCTATGATTCGTTAGATTGTTGATTCTAACGTTGAAGAATAAAAGAGATTACATGCCCCAACCACGATTTTCAGTGCGGAAAACTTGTAGTGGCACGCGTCGTCCTCTTGCAACAATTCGATTGTCACATGTTTCATCACAAGCACAGGCCTCATGACACTCGTAGATAGGTGCTTTGCTATCCAAAAGCTGCTCTTTCAAACATCCTTCGCTATTGCCCCCTGCTTGATATGCATATACATTGTGGTCTGGTAGATCAACCTCAGAATCTTGGAGACAGTGGCAAGTCATTCCATGGCAATTGTGACTGCATTCGCACCCAACTCGAAACTCAGGGTCGGCTCGGGAAACTCCTTCTCTGAGAATAGATTTTTCGATAAAAGTGAAATCGTCAGGAAGAGTTAAGCTTTCGTCTTTGCAGACAATGGAGATTGGGTATTCTTTTGCATTGGAGAAGCTGCGAATTTGACACCAATGACAATCTTTGAGGGATGGCTGAGAGATAAGGTTAGCTGTTGTTTGATCGGATGAACTTAGGAACCAACAACAAATGAAGTATTCAAACAATAAATAACATTATAGAGTTCCAAAATAATAATTCCAGACAATAGAACCCCCTTAATTCTATTGAATGTTCCAGTAAAACTCCAAAATTCTCGAAAAATATTGGGGTATCCTCTGAGCCTCAGAGCAATCCCAAGAGTTGTTGTTAATCTATCTTCTTGCTCCACACCCCACTTTGAGCAGTGGAAGTCGAATATCCTACTTAGGCATTTTTGATCTCCAACAATACAATATCATCTACTCGTATCTGCCGAACGTATGCCCACAAAAAGAAACAAGTACAAGTACAATAACAACCCCTTTTCAACCCCCTCGTTACTATAATTTCAGAGCTCCATTTCTCATTCTCTTCAAACACCTACTATTAATCAAAAAGATGGCCTCTCTACTCACCAATCAAAGCCCACTCAGACTTCTGTAAGCCAGATCACACCACCCCTTAACCCCAATCACCAGCTCACCCAAGTAAACCAAACGAAACCAAATCACAGAACAAATGAACACAAAGCAAAAGAACAACAACTCACAACTTCATGACCAGA